GTTGATTGGTGTGGGGTGAACTTCTCTGCCCCTGTTCATAGGCGCTAGTTTGGGTCGAAACCCCCAACTACTTTAGGGTCACCATATGGAAGGGAAGCAGTGGAGATTCCAAGACTCTCTTTGTTAGGTAAAAATTGGCAAACAACAATTTGCCACCTCATTATTTTTAAATTTGTCAAACTACATATATCCCTGAAACTATATGATGTTGATAAAAAGAGAAAATGAATGATACTGTTCCTCAGTGGTGCCCATGAGGTGGGGGTTAAAAAGAAAATCAAGATGGCAGTCACAGCAGTATAATCAAATCCCTGCCTCTTTGAATGTATGGGTGATCTTGATGCACTTATCAAAGGGGTGGGACCTGGACTGCCATCTTGACTTTTTTGTCTCCCCCCACCACACACACACACACGCACCTTTTCTTTTCTTACCTCTTCGTAATTTTCCAAGCTGGACTGGTAGCTTGGGCACCAATATCAGCCTGGAAAAATACAGAATTGAAAAGCCAGTTGGAAAGACTACCCCTTGGTCTGCCTTTACAAGGCTGAGATTGCTGCATTTCTACCTTCAAAGGAAAGAAAAAAGTGCATGGTGGGGAGGGTAGAGATTTTGTGGGAAGAAATCAGTTGTGTGCCTGTGGGCACTGCAGGATACCAGCAAAAGACAATCTTCACATTCATATCTATAGTAATTTGAGATTATTTCACTGTTTGTTGCTAGTTCTGTTTTTCTAGTTCTTTGTAATTGTCATTTTAGTCACAAGTTCCCATCTATTTTTTACAATCTGAAAAACAATAACCCTGCAGCCTGCTCCTGTGTAACCCCCCATGGCAAAGCTGCAAGCTAGATAAATCTCTAAGGGCTTCTATTGCTCATTCTTAAGACCTTAAAACACTCTGCTGACAAAATAAGCAAAGATTCATACTATTGCTCCTGTTCAAAACAAAGCTCATGAAGAGTCGCTCCCCCCGCCAGCTTATAAAGTGTGCTGGAAGTCATTATTTTATCAGTTGAAAGAGTGCAAAAAAGTCTACTATTGGCATTGTAACTCACATGTACATAGTGTCAGATTCCAGACAACGAATGATCAAGGAAATGGTTGTAGATAACTTGTCGGGCACCTGGGCCGGCATCGCACAGGGTGATTTGGCTCCAGAGATGATGTCATCGACAAAACTCAGCACCGTCTCTAGGGAAACAGGCAACCCAGCCATTATGTGATAAAACTGGTAGAAAAAGATGCAAGGACACAAAGGAAAGTGGGGGAAGGAAAGCCGCGTTAATCTACCATAGTCAAAAATCAGGAGGACTCTGAGAGTGCCTTTTATGACTAAACATTTATATTAAAAAACGTAAGCTTTTGTCAGCATATGAAGACATGAGCTACAGCTTATGAAAGCTTACGTCTTTTACTGAAAAGTGTTAGTTGTAAAAGATGCTGCCAGACTCCTCTGATTCTGGGGAAAAGGAAGTGTGACCGTGAGCTGATAGTCAAATAGTGTTTGATACTGGCATTGTACATATTATTGAACTATTTCATTTTTTTCTGCCCAATTTAATGGGTATTTGGGATGACATTTCTCCTTGGATCCTTCATTCTTTCTTATCTAACTCCCAAAGGGATGACAAGATTCTTGCCTTTTATCTTCTCTGTGTAGATGCCTCCTCTAGTTTTAGCTTATGGCAACTTCAGCCCAGTCTCACATTCTCACAGTTCACAGGGCAACTAATCCCAAAACATGGGTGCTGCAACCATGAGGGCCCTAACTCAGATTTATTTATTTATTGGAATGATTTATATGGCCACCCATATTACAGCAGTGACTCAGGTACCAAATTAAAACAGCAACAAGCCCACAGTCCAAACCACAAAGTCCAAGGTTAAAACAATAATCCCAAGTTATACAAAAACAACTTTAACCAACACAGCTCACCTAACCCTCTGACCCAAATGCCTGGGGTAACAGCCAGGTCTTCAGTGCCTTCCGAAAGGCTGGCAGGTCATCTAGATTTCTGGAGGGATGCTGTTCCACAGGAAAAATGCTGCCACAGAGAAGGCATGACTCCTGGGTCCAATAAGATGACATTATTTGATGGAAGGGACCTAGATCATGCCCTTCCTGCTAGCTTTGGTGGGCGGGCAGAAACAATGGGAGACACGTGGTCAGGCAAATGGCATGGCCCTAAAATATGTACAACTTTAGGAGGGATAAACTATACCTTGAATTGCACCTGGAAGTCCACAGGAAAGCAGTGCAACTTGCAGAGCACTGGGGTTACATGGGCATAATGAAAACTGCCAAAACTGCCCATGCTGCTGCATTCTGGACCAGCTGTAGATTCTGAATGCTCTTCAAGGGCAGCCTCGCATAAAGCACATTCCCATAATCCAAGGAGAAGGTGACTAAGCATGAGTTACTGTAAGCAAAGCCTCCTTTGCTTATGGTGCAAAGTCCAGGAATGGGTGCAATTGGTGCACAAGATGTACCTGTGCAAAAGCCTCCGTAGCCATGGCTTCCACCTGTTCTTTGTGCAGAAGCCCTGAGTCCAGGAGAACCCTCAGACTGTGCACCAAGTCTGAATGGGAAGTGCACCCCCAGGCAGAGTTCAAGATGGAAAATCTCCAGATCAGGGGGAGGGGAGGCTTTAAAACCCATAGCCATTCAGTCTTGCCAGGGTTGAGGTCTTCACCATCCAGACCTCCCCAGCCTCCTGGCACTGAAAAAGAACCTTGATGGCATCACTTGGTTGACCCAGGTCAGAGAGATACAACTGAGTATCATCAGTGTACTGAAGATACTGCACCTTGTGCCAACAGATGACCTCACACAGCAGCTTTATGTACATATTAAAAAGGAGTGGAGAGAGAGTAGAACCCTGGGGCACCCCACAAAGTAAAGGCCTTGGAATCAATCCCTTCCCCACCAACATTTCTCTTATGAGAAGTGGCAACCCTTAGAATACTCAAATTCCAAATCATTTGGGACTTTGAAGTTCAGATCAGCACTTAGAACATGAACACAAATAAGGGCCCATTACTATATCCACTGGTATTATGTGTCTTGAAAACAGGGATCTTATTAGCAGTCTTAGTGCTTTCAGTTTGTACCAACTGAACTTTCAATCTGGATCTAAGTCTATAATTTGTGCTACATTCAGGTCAGAATAGTTTCAAGCAGTATCATCTGCAGAATGGAATGCAAACTGGAAATGTTGGGATATGCTGAAAATTTCTTCACTATTTCCTACATAAAGTAAAAGAGTGTATTCATTTGGATTAGTCTACCGGGCAGCGTGGAGAAGATAAAATGGTGCCAGAAAAATACTTCATCACAAGCATTCCAATGAGCTATACTCCAAGAACATTTTATAATCTGATGTGGGTTCCCTTGAATTTGCCTTCAAATTCTTCAGATGTTTGCCTATAGAGAAGCATCACATTTATCTTGACATGTGCTTCACGTGAACAGCAGGAGGAAGGTGACTTTAGTGAATGTAGGACAAAAGATATTATCATTATGTATAGTATGAAATACAGTGTTTAAGGATGTGTCCAGTTTTCTGACCATCTGCTATATTGTACTAAAGTAAGGACTGTTATTCTAGTTTGCTTTTTTTTTTTTGACATACCTTATTTTCTTATTTTCCAGAATAATTACAACTTTATTGTAACATTTATACTTTGTTATTGAAATCATAGATACAGGTATGAGAAAAGAGTCTGCATCATCCTTAGCTTATATTTAGCTCCCTGATAAGCAGTAAGATTTAAAATGAGATGGACATTTGAAGAAAGAAAGGGAAAGGGAAAGGGAAAGGGAAAGGGAAAGGGAAAGGGAAAGGGAAAGGGAAAGGGAAAGGGAAAG